TGTAAGTACCACCCAACACACCCACTAATTGCGTCACTACTTACGACACAACCTAACTGCTTTTTTACAATATTTAAGCATCATAATACAAAAACTTGACACGTAGGATACACTCGTAAGCCGAACACTGTGAAGTATACAACACTGGGTCAGTTCTCTAAATAGCTTCGAATCGTTTATTGAAAAAAAAATAGTAATACAAAAGAAGAAAAAGAAACTAAAAGTTATATTAATAATTAAAATGTTGTAATTACAATGGTATTCTACACTAGTAATTTTTTGGACCTAACACCACCACCAGTGAATTACAACCAAAAGTATTGTTAATATATTAAAAACAAACTTTTTGAGATATAAAAAATTCATAAATTTTGCAATAACTCAAAAATGATCTACATTAAGCATTTCTGATCTCATTTTCGATGTCGGCTCAAGATTTTACATAAAAAATTACTATTAGATGACTTAGAATAGAAAATTATTTATTATAAGTAAACTAGATACTAATAATTATTAACATCTCAATAATAGAGAATTGCATTTTATACTATTTTATATTATTTATATTGGCTTATATTTACTAATAATAATATGCATAATTTTTTCATCAAATAAAAATCATTTTTAAGTTTGTTTAACTAAATTTTATAAATCAAAATACTACTATCATTTGACAAACAAAAAGAAGAAAATTATGTTGGAGTTTTTAAATACATTATTGTGTAACAAAAGAAATGTTATGACATCACCCATAAACAATTTTTTAAATGTGCCATCAAACAAAGTCCAAACTTATTACAACACTAATTATTCTCGAAAGATCTTAGAAATTCAAAAAGTTATAGCGGATGATGACGTCGATCACGTAAATGTTTACATATGATCTCATGAATATAAAACATAAAATCATAGAACATATTTTTTACTGTAGGTTACTCTTGAAACAAAATCGATTTTAAGTAATTCAAAGAGACCAATTGATGAAATTTTAAATAATTTCGTGTTAGATAGAATACAGTTGATAAAATCTTTTAAAGATGATAACAAAGAAATAAAAACTGAATTGTCGACTAATAATAATAGTCTTGGAATAGATGTTAAGGGAACCTGGAATAATGAAGGTTAATTATAAAAAAATCGATTATTATTTTTTTAATATTATAAATCTTTTGTTTTTTTAATATTTTTAATTAGAACGAACGACTTACTTTGGACTTAATATGCGTGACTTTTCATTAGGATTAAAGTACAAATTTTCGGATTTGATCTCTACTGACATTGGTTTTAAGCAAAAGTATATAAGTTTATTTTTTACTGTTTCAATATTAATTTTAAGTATTAACTTTTTTTCATGTTAATTATAGTTCTAGTTCAAATAAAACGTTGTTTGTTTCGGGTGAATATAATCATCCTTTTGTATTTATTAATACAACTGCCGAAAGTTCTTTTATTCCATTTAAAGATCCGAGCAGCCTAAATATTTCAGCCACGTTTAGTCATAAACTTGAAGCTATGAGCTTATTGACTGGGTTTTCCTTAAAAACACCTTCTAGCAGTAATTTTAGCATGGCCAATCTTTACAAAACAGCTAGTTTTAGTGTTGTAGCTTCAAATGGTATGGTAAGATTTGATATGTAAGTTAATAATTCAAATAGGTATAAAACGTAAAGTACTATATTTTTCAATAATTTGCTATAGGAAACCAGGTGACATACTACTTACTACATGTGCTTGGAAAATAAATGAAAATTATGAAGTTGCTGCTCGCATTCATAATAATTGGAAATTAACATCTTGGTCAAACGAATTTAATGAACTAGGCTTATTGCATAAACTTACAGATTCTCAAACTTTAGGGTTAAAAGCTGATATAGGTGGTAGACTAACCATAGGATCTTGGTGGAAAAAAGAAAGTAAGCAATGTTTAAATAATTTAATATAAATACTATATTTTTAAATTTTAATGATCGTTATAGGAATAAAGTTAGGACTTAGTGCTCAAACAAATTTGAAGAATACAGAAAATCTAATCAACTATGGCCTAGTTTTTGAATTTCAATAGATCAATAATATTCATCAAAATTAAATTGATTTTAAAGACTAATATGATAAAATAATTAATTAAATATTTAAAAAATCTAGAAAATAATTGGTGCAGGAGTGATGGTTTTTCGTAGAAAAATTAATATATTTTATATAAACAGTTTTCTTTAATTTTTTTTTTTTTCAAGAAACTTTGATGTAAAGAAACACATACTGGTTTAACAGATAATAAAATTTAATTTTTTTTAATCATAATTACCAATCACTTTTGAAAGTATCATTTTGATACACGTATTAAAGTTTTCATTATTGGTAATTAGTGTTGTAAAACTAGTACAGTCAAGATACGACATAGTGGATATCTGTTAGATAGAAATTTAACTGTAATGAATATTATAAATGCTAAATAAATACAAAAAAAGTTGCCATATTGAAACCTTCCCTAAGGGTAGGTAAAGGGTGAAATGTCCACAAAACTATATCAAATAATTTGTTCATTTTTAAAAAAAGTTATGCAATTTTTAAGAAAAGAAATTTAAAATATCGAAAATTACCAATTTTAAAATTGTAATTTTTGGGGAATTTCCTCCGTTTAAGAGGAACGAGGTAATTTTTTTCAATTTTTGAGGTAAAACGCAGGGAAGAGCACCTTTTAAACCAAATGTGGAAGGACGCCATTATAAAAATACAGTTACCGTTCCAGGAGTTGCAATAACCCCGGCCGGCTGAGAAGAGTGCGGTTGCAGGCTCGACCCGGTCGTCATTTAGCGACTGCATCGATACCGTTGGACTGTTGAGGCAGGGTCCAGGGGGCATTCACGCCCAAGTTACTGCTAGAGGATGTGCGGAGCAGGCATCCTCCAGTGTCCTTAGGGACACCGAGGTTACTGCCGGAAGTCTTGACTTCAACCATGACCTGGTCGAGAAGCGGTCGGACATTAGGGGTCGTTTCTGCAACGATATCCCTATGTCCCGCTCCGAATTCGAGCGGTGGTAGACAATTACGCAGCGCCAGAAGGCGTAGGGATGTAGTATTTGCCGCACGTAGGTTTTTAGTCCCCCAACCCACAGTGAAGTCTTACAAACACCTCAACGTGGTGCGACCTGGGCAACGGATCCAACTAACGGGGGAGGCCACGTCATGTTGTGATTCAGCTCTTGAGCTCTTCAGCTCTTCGGGCTGAGTCACAACACGACGATGTGAGTTTTAATGCAACGTTGGGCGCACAGAAGCAATACCTTAAGATAGTTCCAAGGCGTCCAACATTATATCGACCGTGAAAAAAAAAAAAAGGTAATAAATTCGACTACATACAATTTGTGACCGATTGGTCAGGTGAGATCTGAGATTGAGTGGTAACAGACACACACAAATAAAAAACACATCATAGTAAATTTACTACGTTCTCAGTTTCGCATCGAAGCTAAAATTTTGTCATTGATTTATATAAAATTTGCAATTTTTTACACAATTAATGTTTTTTTCTTATGAAAGTAATCAGAATGAAAGATACAAAAGTAATTTTTTTTTTAATTATAAGATATTCAGATGTAAATTTTACATTTGTTTAAATACATTAAAATAAATTTAAAGTTACAAAATTTGAAAGGTAAATTCTACAAGACTGTAGTGAGGCCAACTATGATGTATGGTTAGGAGTGTTGGGTGGTTGATAAGAAAGTAGAGCAGATAATGAGTGTAGCATAGATGAGAAAAGTTATAGAAATCAATGTTGAAGGAAGAAGAGGTAGAGGAAGACCAAAAAAGAGATGGTGGAATGCTATTCAATGCGATATGAGGACAGCTGATGTGAGTGTAGATAATGTGGGAGATCGTGTCAAGTGGAAGTTTAAGATAAGGGATATATCCCAAGTAGTTGGGATTAAGGCAAGGAAGAAGAAGAAGAAGAAGTCGCGTAACTAAGATGCTATTGGTTTTCTTGGCCAAGTTTATTTTTATGTCCAATATTACTGATGTTCTTATAGGATTAATCTGTTAAAAGATACAAAAATTACAAATTGTACTTAGTTTAATCTATCAGTGCCATAATTTTGAAATATTCCCCTCATTCTCGGTAATAAAGAGTGATGTCCTAAAAAATTATAGTTTTCGTTAAACAATGTTGATAATTTTAGATTTCAATTTATTTTGAAAACTGGACGGATAATTGCGAAATTTTTTCTAATAATACTTTAAACATTTGCTTTGGTAACGCTTGCTTTTTTTGAAAATTGTATCATTAACTAAAGTGCTGTGAGGCTTAAAAAAGGAAATCAAACATTTTTTCTTTTTAATTTTTAATAATGTTCTAAAAAACTAATTTTTGGAAACCTAAAGATAAAGATAATACAATGTACTTTAAAATGAATAAAGAATAATTATACAAATATCGATATCTTGTAGAAATTGGCTATAAATGACGAATTTTTGCGAAAATTAGTAGATTTTATAATATTTTACATAGTACGCTATGCTTAATTATTTAAATTTAAGTTTGTAATGTAGTATTTATTCTTTATGAGTAATTAAACACTTTTAGTTAAAGAATTTTAGGTAGTTCAATTTTTTATTTAATTTTTAAACGCATCAAAGGTTGTACGATAGTGATTTTAATTATTGTCAGATTTCCATCAACACTAATCAAAAAATGCTTCAACTCCACTTAATTGAATTCTTACTGTACTTTAATTTTTATTTTTACAAATAAAATACGAATTTTTATTGCACCAAATAAATATTAAAAAAAAAAGAATTATTTTACTTTGAATATCTTATGAATTTCATTTTCATTTTCTAACATACTTAATTCATTTTTTAATTCATTATTTCTATATTTTAGTTTTTTCAGATAAGATAACTTTGTTTGATGTTCTAGAATATATAATATAAACAAATTTTAATTAAATTATGTATGTAAATAAATGCAAAGTAAGCTGTTAAAACCATTTAATATTTTTTAACTTCTAATACCTATCAAAACATCGTAGTATTGCTGCATAGCTTTAACTACAATATCCCAAAACTCTAACTTATTAAGTGAGAAGTTTTTTGTAAATTGAGCCCAGTAAGATTCTATATCCTGTTCATTTATTATCCATAAAAGATGGTTATATTGCTTGTTTAATCTTTGTTTAAGTGATTTTTTTACAGTTTTTGGTTTAGGCTTTGCTTTTTCTATTATTCTTTTCATAATTCGTAAATAATTTGTTTCATCAATAAATATTCTGTGATTTAAGTTGTTACATAATAATACTTGATTGTTCTGTTTAATAACTGTAAAATAATATTTCTAATAAAAAATGATAACCCCAAAAATTATACCTTTACATACATTTTGTTTTTTTAGCAACGAAAGGTTTTTCAATATAATTTTCTATTTTCAGATGTTTTTGTAACCCATTATCAAAAAAATTATTATGAGTAGAAGTATAACTTGATAATTTTCGTAATAGAGAATCATTTTTTTCAGATAGTTCAGTACTATAATAATAATAATGACCAATTCTTTTTATGCCATTCAAATTTATTAGAATTTAATTTTTATTATACATATACAATATTTTATAGACATAAATTAATATAGGTATAAAATAATTCACCATAAAATAAAATTTACATTTTTTCATAAAATAAATCAATTTAGATTTTGTAATAAGAATTTATGATAAAAAGAATATATTTTATTAACATTAAGTTGTTCTTCATGTTCAACAATTGTTTTTTTTAAAAGATTTTTTTCAAGAAAATATATATATACAGGGTGGCCCACCACTCACTGACAACTTAAATAACTTTTGATCCAGTTAATATTTTTAGCTGATTTTTTTTTTAAATATTAGTTAGACGTTAGGTCTATAGCTATATCGCAATAATTAATTTGTTTACATTTTATTAAAAATATTAATTATTTTAAAATTTTAAATAAAAAGTAAAAAAAAAATCTAAGATAGCTATTTTGTAGAGTAGAATTTAAGAAAAATTTTAGTAAAAAAATATCTTATTAATATTCAGTAGTAAATATTCTGTAGCGTTTTGAAGTTTGTGAAATTTTGAATTTTCATGTACTATTTTACGGTATTAAACATTGAAATACGTATTGAGAAAAGGACAGAAGAAAACGCTATCTTTTCAATATACTTTTGAATGAGAGTGATAAGTAATAATTGCCTTATCTAATTTCTTATCNTTAAATGAATAATAGAAAAATTAATTTAACATGAAATCTAAAAATTTTTGCGAGTTAAAAATTTTAACTGAATTTTTTAATTTATTAACTTTTTATGTCCAGTCTTGAATATTTTGGAAAATGAATATTTTTGAAATTGTACGTTGGAAAATAAAATAAGTATAATTTTTAGTTAGAAAAATAAGTTAATTTAAATTAAAATTGCCATAATGTTGATACATTATTTAGGTTTAAATAATTAAATTTAATGTTTATCCCAAAAAATTAACATAATTAATATAATATATAAATCAGAATTATTTTTTTAATGCGTTTACCCCTAGTTTTGGTTTTATCTAGTGATGTAAATTGTATAACATTTTAATATACGTATCATACAAAACAATAAAATTTAAATGATATTCTGTAAAATACATTTAACAGAACATATCGCCGTCACAATGCCACCTTCTAGCCTACAACAATCGGTGGTAGTAACATTATCAACGTTGATTATAGAAATTTTTACATAACTCTTGGCATGATATTACAAAAACTATAATTTCCGGTGTTTGTACTTACATAAATAAGGAGTGACCTTCTGACTATGCCATCTATTTGGGTTCTTATAACAATTTACTATTTAGGTAAGCTGCACCCGCAGGGCTATTATATCATATTGCAATTATTTTTGTTTGGCTAATTTCACTTTTTATTACTAAAGCCCTAACCCTATCGTTTATTAAATAGTTGATCAAAAAAATAATTTTATACATATAAAAGTAATCAACTCTATCATTTTATTCAGTAGTATCAGTATAAATACAAATGTTGCAAGTCAGTTTCCTAAAAAAAATTTAAAATAAATAATATGCTAGACTGATTGCTTTTTAAAATAATGACTCGATGAAGTTGAAAAGATTTATTTCTATCAATAAAACGTCGAGAACTAATATTTGAAATCATATATATTATTATTTTATACTATTTGCGTTAGATTATTATAAATAGTATTTTTGACTATATTTATATACAGTGGTGTAGTCCTAAAAATTTTTATGGGTATACACCTATATTATGAAAAGAGAATAACGTGGGGGGCTCTGCCCCCCCGAACCCCCCATTTCACTTTATATTTTCTACATACAATATTTCACAATTATTTTGTTGAACTAATAACTTTATACATTATCAACAGTGATATAGTCGTAATTTGATCAATAGATAAGTTAAAAACCTATATGAGGAAACGTGGAGTATTTCACCCCCACACTACTTTTCAAAGGCCTTAACTATAACATAGTTTTGGGGGACGGAATACAAATATTGTGATGTTTTAACTGTGTTAAAAATATGTATTTTCTAATTATTACATAATGCAACTAAAACTCCTAACCCTCCCAGATACGGCCTTGCTCCTTCCAATTTCCAAACTATTACTCGAATATTTTTACTGACACTTCTAAGTTCTTAAATAATTAAATTTCATAGTAATATAATCGATATGTGTATTATTAGATACTGTTATATTTGTAACGTGACAAAAAGTATCTATTTATTTTTTTGTCTATTTGTATAGACATATATATATATATTTTTGTGTTGAGCTGAATGCGTATTGCGACGGCATTTATCAGTTTGTGCGCGCGCGAGATAATCAGCTGTGTACTACTTCGGACCGGTTCATGGACGGCATTTGTGTGTACATTCACCCCGCTCTTTTCCTATCTTGAACGTTATTTGCACTGCTCACCGCATATATTGTCGCCTTATGATTTAAATTGTTCTTATTAATTTCCGGCACTGGGTATTTAGTTTTTTTTTTACCTCTACTTTAAAGGCTAGTCGTGTTGTCGCCAACGGACTGCCGGGTCAAACGCCGGACATTTTGTTGGAATTAGCCATCGTCGGAACTGGTACGCTAATTTTCGTCCGTAGCGGTTTTTTTAGTTGTGTGCGTTAAAACAGATTGTTTTTTTTTATTGGCGCCGGCTATACCTGCCTCCAGTTTCTTTTTATTTTATTCTTTAGTCTATACTCTTCAACTATTTTATAAATACGTATATGCACTAATAAGAAAACTAACAGTGGGTATACGCCGTATACCCGCGTATCACTCATGATTTTATAAGTATACGCAATAACAGAAAAACAAAGAAGTGGGTATACACCGTATACCCGCGTATACGCTCCACGACACCTCTGTTTATATATTTCTTATATATGCATTATGTAATTATAAAAGTCCTAATATTTTTTTTATAAAATAAATATTATATGTCTATTATATATTTATAATACAGATAATATATATTATCTCTGAAAAATAAAATATAGCATTTTTACATCACTAGTAATACCAAACAAAATTTCGTATAATTAATAAAAGTTTTTTTAATATAAAAATTAAGAAAAATTCAAATTAATTTATTAATGTTTAATTATTTATACCTATATATGTTTGAGCAATTGGAAAAAATTTGTTCATCAATCCAGTTTACTTGAGTATCACATACTGCACATTGAACAAATGGTCTAAAATTAGATTTAAATAAGTCCCATGAATCTGCACTACTCAATCCTAGTGTCTTTATAACATTGTAGACTATTGGTAAATTTTTCATACGATATGGACGAATTATTTCAATAAGATTTTCATCAACTGTTAAATGAGACTCTTTCACAGTTAAATCTAATATAAGTCTCATAAGTGCTTTGTCTCTTTCTATGATGTATTTATTTTGCACAGCTACAGCTGTAGAATCGCCATTTACTTCTTTTTTATTTAAAATAGTTAATGTATTAGCTATTTTCTTGTAAGAATGTATATCTTCCATGCAGGGACTACCGAATAAGTTTTTCGAATCCCATTCGATTCCCAAATATTTATTATGTATTACCCGATCAATATTATAAATCTGCATTAAAACTTGTCAATTGTAATTTTTTAAATTAACTTGTTATTGTGTGCCAAATTTTACCTGTTCAATTATGTTAATAATTTGTGTTTGTTCTTGAGCCCAGCAATTTTCGAATTTTTGAGCTTCGATTTTGGCGATAATATCTACCTTGTTTTCTAATCTATCAATATCAGAATTTATTTGAATTATATTTTGTTTCAATATGGGTATCCGAGATTTGTATTGTTTGTCATTTTCTTCCAGCTTTGCTTTTAAATCATACACAGTCTGCCGCATGCTATTCATCAATAATCAATTTTAAATAAAAATGTTATTATGCGATTTATTATTTACGAACTTATATAATAATTACGCATTTATCAATCTCTTTCGGGAAGCTAATGCTATTGCATTTTCTTCTGTTCTTTTCTTTAGTACATCATAATTATACTGAAGTTTTTCCGTATTTTCAAAACATTTTATTTTTACGAATTCGAGTTCACGAATTCTCTCCTACAATAGAAAATTTTAACTTCAGAAAAACATTAAGTAATTAATAAAACTTAAATTAATTTTTCAAGAACAACAGAATCTTTTTTTATCTCTATCTAATTTAAATTTAAAACAACTTTTCAGTATCTGAAATTATTATAATTTTAAACATAAAATTGTTTCAAATTATGTTATCTATTAATTATTTGTTTAGTCAGATTGTTGTTCAAAAAATGAAAGAGTTTTATGTAATTTTAAATATTTATTACATCAAATTCTTTTATAGCATTGATTCGAGAATTTTTTGCTTTCTCTTCATTTTCTTCGAATTGGATCATCAAATTTTTTTCTTTATCCTCCAAAATTCTTAAGCGTTCTTCAACAAAGAACATCTGGCCATCAATAATTTGATCAAACAACAAATCCCATGATGTAACATCTTTTAATTGTTTTTTTTGCATTTCTTTGTTCATTAAATCCTTTGTTCATTGCAAAAAAAATCAGTATTTTGATTAAATTACAATTTTTAGATATATAATATCGCTTAGTATAAGCTCACTTATATCTAATTTTTTAGATTTTCGAATCTAATTAATATTAATGTTAATAATTAATAATCTAATTTTTTAATATTTTTTTAGAAATAAAAATTGATTAGACGATTTATAATTTATATACATGCTATTGATATCAAGATGGTCTGGAGATAGGTAGTGGTATCATCTAATATTATTAGGGAAATTTGAATTAAGTTGTGAGTCGACTAAGACTTGTTCTTGATGTTTTGTTCATTTAATTCATATGTAAGTATTAAAGTAACTGAATTAATATAAATGGTAAAAAGTGTGCTTAATAAGTAGGTTTTTTGCTAAGAATTTTTATTAATATTTTATGTAAGCTTTTAAAGATTTTGTTAAAATTAAATGAATAAATAAGTACAATAAATAAGTAAATAAATAAATAAATAATAAATAAGTATAATAAAGTTATTTAACTTTGTTAATAAATAATACGTCTCTAAAAATCAGATTATGACTTTTTACTTTTAAGTCTTGGAATATTAATTATATTAGATTATTAGTTCAAATGAAAAAACTAATTTTATTTAGCTTTTGTCTCCCTTTGTTCATACTTTTTTTTAAATATTTTAAGCGACCAGTTAAAAAGTGAACTTACTATAATCATATTGAGATTTTCATTATGAATTTTCTTTATATCATTTAAATGGTTGTCTGCAATTTTATATAACATTGCTAGATCATAATTTTGTAAATTTTTCTCACGCAAACTCTTCGAAATAGTATCATCTATTTCCTTGATTAATTCTTTTATTATATTATCTTTCTGTTTCATAAGTTGGATGCCTTGTTCTATAAAAATAAAATAAATATAATTATTCATCATAATAAAACGAAAATATTTACACAATTACCTCTAATATTTTTTATATCATTATGAATTATCAAAATATCATTTTTGTTGCTTACTCTTTCTAACTCATCGTCAATATTCATAAAAGCATCGTTTAATTTACTTAATATTAAAGTTATACTATCAAAACGTTTTTGTTTGGCTATATCATTGTTTATTTTTCGAGAACATTCTTTATCATCCATTTTTAATTTATTTTCACTAATTAATACTAATGCTTCTTCGATAATTTGTTTAAGTTCAAACTCACTCTTTTCAATTTGCTCAGTAATAATATTAGGTACAATTAACTTTTCGAGGTTTTTCTTTCTTTTTTCTTCTTGCTCTAATCTAGTGTAAACTTTTTTTTAAGAAAATGTATAATCACATTACTAAAACTTGTTACTCAATTAATTTTGCACGACGTATTAGATCTTTCCTTCGGATATCTTTTCTCTCATCAACATCCGATACTATTGTGCTTATATCAGAATCATCAGATTCATTTCTATTTCTACAACCATTTTTCTTTATTTTAGTATCTTTTAAAAACTTGGACATTTTGAAAAATTAAACAAATTATAATTATTGTTTTCAGTAAATAATTTTATTATTTCAATTATTTAATTAATTTCAAATAAATACATATATAAATATAAAAATAATTATTGTATAATTGCTAGGTTAATTTATTTGTTAAGACAAATATTATACATATAAAAGAGAATATTTGTTTACATTTAAACAAAGAATGTTATTAGAGATTAATGCCATATTTTATGTCTATTAAATTAATCTAAATAAAAAAAAATGATAAAGGGTTTTGATTAAAATAAATTTTATTGACAATAGTAATAATGTTAAATTACATTTGAGTCTTCAAAATTATTTTTCTCATATTTATACTAGTTAATACATATACCAGTATTTAAAAATAATTAGCTTAAACTAATTAAGCACCCTACTTAATTTAGTCGGGGACACGTTCTGTGTGTAATGTAGTTTATTTATTTTTGTTTATGATTTTTAAACATTCACTTGATTATAATTAGTTTAGTGAGACATTAATATTTAAGTATAAGTAATCTGAATTGTTTGGGAGTTCTACGGCAGCGATTTGAAGAAGATTATGTTCGAATGATATTATTTTATTTTCTAAATGTGCATTATAGAATACTCTGTAATAATTTATTGCATAATTTTAGCTTCGATGCGAAGCTGAGAAGGTATTAATTTTACTATGATGTGTTTTTTTTTTTATGTCTGTTGCCACTTTTTCTCAGCTTTCACTGGACCGATTTCTTTCAAAAATACGTCAAAAGATAACAAATCGTATCTAATTGGAGACATTACCTTTAAAAATTGAAAAAAATTCCCTCGTTCCCCTAAAATGGGGGAAATATCCAAAAAAATTACAAATTTAAAAATCGATAAATTTTGTCATTTTTTCACCTTTTTTTTCTTAAGACTTCCATAACTTTTTGAAAAATANATAAATTTTGTAATTTTTTCACCTTTTTTTTCTTAAGACTTCCATAACTTTTTGAAAAATAAACAAATCAACATAATTTTTTTTTCAACTAAAACCTTAGACATTTCCCTTTCGTTTGATATCATTTTGTTGAAAATCTAACACTTAACCTGCTTAAAAATAGCAACTTTTTTGCAAAAACTAACTTTTTCAACTTCATTTTTGAAAATGTTCCGGAAATACTGCGTCCTTTAAACATATATCAAATTAAAGCTTATTTTATGTACTATAAAATGAAAAAAAAAAATTTGTCCCGACACTTTATCTTCTGCATGTAAACGACTGCCGTAGTTAAAAAAACACTATTTTTTGTTAAAATTTTCGATTTTCGATTTTAAATTTTCAACTTAAAAATGCTATAACTTTTTGAAAAATGTATGTATCAGCACAATTATTTTTTTTCTAAACATATTATAAGTATATCTTTCATTTGACATACTTTTTATTAAAATTGGACAAATTCCCCTTATATAGGGGGCGTTCAAAACTTAAAATATTGTAAAAAACATAGATCTTTTTCAACTGAACTTTTGAAAATGTTCCTGGAATACTGCGTCCTTTAAACATATATCAAATCAAAAGATTATTCTATGTACTATAAAATGGAAAAAAAAATTTTGTTTCGACGACCTATCTTCTATGCGCAAATGGCTACCGTATTCAAAAATATGCTATTTTAACAAATTTTTTTTTTTTTTAATTAAACACTATCTACAGATTTGCATCGAAGCGTTTTTTATGATAGTGATTTTAATCATTGTCAGATATCATCTACACTAGACCCACCTATGCCACGACCCCACTGTGCCGCCACCCCACTGTGCTGGGTTTTTTTTTTATATTATGTTACTTTTTAAAACAATATACGATTACATGTGTATTACTAATATTTATTTATAATTATTTAACAAAAAAAAAAATCTTAAAACTATTTATACTAGTACACATATTTTTACAAATTATGTTTCCAATATTTAATTTTAACAATATTTTTTTCCAACAAAAATAACTTAAATACTATCATATTTTTATTAACCTTCTTGTGGTGGTAGTGGTATAGCACAATGCCCGCGAGTCAACGTTTCGATTCTGTTTGTAATATCGGTGGAATAGCAAGAGTGATCCTTAGGCAGGTTAGATGCGTCCACGTGTACCAGTAAATTGGGGCTGTCAGCTAAATTCTGGTAGAAGTCGTTGACTCTGGGCAGGTATATGAAAGAACCTGAGAAAAATATTTCTACTGTATGGTGTACTCACCTGCATCCATGTAAACTAATTCGATTGCGTTGCCATAATGTAGTTTTAATACTTCGTAGTAGTACTTGTGCATTAGCATTTTGTTAATATCAAGCACTGCTAAACCAACTTTATTTTGGTTTGATAAACTGGATAATCTTTGTGTCCATTATGACAGCGCACATCCTTTCACCGTATCAGATACACAATCGTTGAAGGTTGTTTGGTTTACGTGTTTGCTTAGACGTTCGGGACTGGAGATTAGCTCAATGCGGGTACGCTTCCGCATGTTTTCCATGGTTTTCACTATATAGAGTTAAAATTTATCGAATAACCTACAACTGCTGTAGCATTGAGCATGCTACAAAACGCTATTTCAAAAGCATTTGCCGCCTGTTTCCGCATTTCAGTGTTTAACTCAATGTATGGTTTCAACCAAGCACTTGGTTGAAACTCTAAAACCTGGTACACCTGCATAACATATATTTATATTAGTATCATGGATTATAGTCTATAGGGTTATTATACATACTTAATCGACTTGCCTGTTTAAGATTAACGTAATGTATGACGTACCGCTGTTTCGATTTCAAAATGGCCATGAGTTTGGTTTCTTTGGAACAAAAGAAAAAACACCACTAGTATGTGAACGCCGAGAATACCAACTCCAGATGTGTATCAAGATTGAAAGTATTATATATAAGTGCAATAATTGAGCGGTCGTTTAAAAACGTTTAATGTATACAGGCAATAACTTTTACGGGTGGTCTATGAGTCAACTCATTCTGTACGGTGGCTTCCACTGGTATGAAGGAGCAGACCCTTTGACCGACCTCCAGTTGCTGCCAGACACTGGTAATACAGGGAACAACGCAGCCACAGCCCTCCTACAAGCCAAGCCACCTATTCCAGCAGATGTTTCTATTATATCATCAGAGACTCGCGGTTTAGACCCGGTTGATATAGTAGATGAATCCCAGAATAACACTTTAGCACAAAATAGGGATAGTGAAGTGCAAGTGAATCCTTAAGACCAAACCTATTGTAGTGTAGGCTATGAGGACCGCCCGTGCCCGCTCACCTCATACCCACACACATGAATGCGTTAACATCACTAAGTTCACCTACATCTGACACCCACAATTAATATAGTGAATTCATAGCCATCCACCCCATCACAAGCAACTTTGGTGTATCAAATACCCAGGTACCTGACATCAACGTTTCTATGTATTCAGCAAATGAAGAGATAGGGTGCTATTAGGGAAAATATTCGCACAGTATTAGGGAATCTCAAACTAAGAGTTACCGCTTTTGAAACAGCCCTATCACGTTTTCAAATGGAACAAAATACGATAAGTAATAGAATGTCTTCTATCGAGCAAGACATTGAATCCATTTAATTATCCGTGTTTAGTCCAGTAGACCCTGCTCCAATTAATGATAACGCTATCAACCCAAACCGTAATACGAATAGACCATCTACCGATCGTCAGGAAGCTGCATTGTATGATAGGTTAGGACAACACGAACATAAGATTAGGCAGGAATTAAATTCACAGCTGACGACCCTCGGTAACACTGTACGTCACTAAACGGGGGAAACACTTCCTTTATTGAATAGCACGAGTGGGTCCCAAACAACCAACCGGATAATAATAAATCTAGGAATTATCAGCCCCATTACCGCACTCAACGATTTATTGGCACTGATTTTCGTTCTATGAACCAACCAAATCGTACCGTGCAGTTTAGTAATAATGACTGCGATTCTCGAGATAATCACACATTACTAATACCATTGCGAGAACATCACTTCCTCAATTTTCGGGTAACGAGAAGGAGGACCTAGCACGCTTCCTTATTATGGCAGAACGTATTTTGTATGAAGCAAATATACACCATGCTAAATGGGTTCGTGCAGTTGAGCAGTTCTTGATATGTCATGGGCCGAATTTAAAAATAGTTTTACCAATAAATTTGATAGCCCCGTCATTCAGTTTCTCCTCTGTGCAGATAGTTTATCAGTTCGTAAAGGTTTATACCAATCACTGACCAATTATTTAATGGAGAAACACCTTTAGTATCATCGAGTTCGGATATTTCTTTCTGAATTTGAGATATTAGACAATGTCATAGATCTTATGAAAGACGATTTCAGAGCCCATGTCCAGTTACAAAACCCCTCTTCATTCATCTTTAACAGCTAGCTGAAATTTTAGATAGGTCCTTAGGTTTTACTAAAGAGTCCCTGAAATTCAAACAAGAGTTTATTAAATCGGTCACTCGCCCATACAAAAATCTACTGACAAAACCACCGCTCCCGTGTAAGCTTTGTAAGGGACCACACTGGAACAGTGAATGCCTAATTAAGCATTTGAGAAACGGGTCGAAAGCCCGCTGAATTTAGTCCAGCCCTCGGGTCATTCAATACTTCCGACGGTAATCTATAAGTTTCCTAAACGCTCGTACTCAGCTCTAATAATTCAGTAAATGTATCAACTTACATTCAAGTGATTGATCTTGAAATAGTAGACATTACCGTCAATTCTCAACCATCCGTGTCAACCTGTACACTGTTAGACTTAGCTAATCTCACTTCATTACACAACCGATTACTCAATTCGCCCACATCACCCTGACTTTGGCTTTAATATTCTTAACCAAAGAACAACCAACGGTTCAGAAATTCTAAAATCACCACGAGTAATCAAGTTGAACCACCATTACACTACAGCTAGTCAAAACAAAGGAATTATATCACATACTTACGAAAACCAAAACAAATCCCTAAAGTAAAAGTTAGGTTTCGAACAAATCACTTTGGGTTTTGACACACAAAATGATTGCCACCATATGGGTAGGAAGGTCAGTTTTAATATATTGACAGATTAGAACAGGACACTCGAACTGCTACTCGTCTTGAGTAACCCAAATGTACTGGGCTTGCGTCTATATGAACTGTATTAGACAAAAACCAAAATAGAATTTCAACACCCTGTATTGAGTTGAAATTCGTTCCTAAGGAGGAGGCTGACCAACATAGGCGAGGGTAGAAGATGGCAACCAAAAAAAAAAAACATTACCACTTAGAAGTCACAATTTTCGACTATTGACTTGGTATATTATAAGGCACATCACTTATCAAACGCAGACAAAGGTTTCCATGCGGGGTTCGCGCCTAAGTGGCTAGGACCAGTCTGACTAGCGGAACGCATAAGTCCAGGAGTTTATCTCACAGACCAGCAACCGCCCCAAAAACTTCACGTCTTATGTCTAAAGCCATCTCACGTGATGGGTGATCCAAAGGATCAAAAAGGATTCCAATGACTTACTCACCTACATAAACAATAAAATTATTTGTTGTTATCGTCTATTTCTAGCATGTCACAAAAACAACAGCGACAAAAACATCAATCACAAAGACCCGTTAAGCTAACCTATAACGACCAGTTAGCAGCTTTGGTTTAGAACTACCTCGTTGGCCAACAAATGCTAACGAATCTGAGAATTCGCTTCCCTAACGCCCGGCTGTCTATAGAGCAGGTACGTACAATGCCAGAAAGGGACTCGCAGCGAAATCCCAATCGGGAGGACGTATAAGGAAAAAAAGAGACAATGCATGGTGGATTACCGGAGGTAGAAGAGACAGGAATTACAAGTACTCACCAAGGATATCAAGTGCAGTCTACCACTGGCTCACAACAGCACTCTTTGGTTAAGAAGACAGAGATCTAGGTAGCGACACCACCAATCCCCATGCTAAGGACGGTTCCACCTTCTGAAGTAACCACTGAAATCACAGCGGAGGCACCGATAGACACCGAAGTCCCGGCAGGAGAGCTCATGCAAACTCCCGACTGTCTCAATGAACATATTAAGACTTTCCTCAATCAACCACTACTATCTGCTCCCTAGACCATTCCTTCCTGTTCCTTTCTCAAACCTATCTCCTCTGAGAGAGCCACCCGCTATCCTAAGAGGAGGGTGATGTGAACATGTCACGAAGCCCATTTTCCCGAAAAAGACTTAGTGATACTATAAAGAAGAGAATACAGAGGAAGTTAAAAAAAAAAAATTATCGACTGAGATTTAGTTCACCGGTTGCACAACTTAGTGAGAGAGAGTTGATACGGCCCGTAATGACGCATTATGTAGTGAATTAGCATGTTATCCGGTCGAGATTATCAGCTGTCTACCGTCGCACTCGTTAGATTTGACGATAACACTATAGTCGTCTTGTCCGGCGGTCGGTAGAATGGACTGGTCAGGGGAGTTCTGCACACGAGACACGACTATGTAAACCAGTTCGCCTGTGACTTACATCCGTCGCACATTTCGTCAAAATATATACCAGCGCCTTATATTGTTCACCAGTTTTCTTTGTATCTTCAAGATTTTAATATTATTGTTATATTTTTTACTTAAACGTATAATAAACGGTTATTCTAAGAACGGTGTTACATTAAATTAATTATTAAACTACCTTTATACCGCATCAAGATTAATAATAATTACATTAAAACAAAGGGTATTTTTGTAAAAAAATATATAACAAAATGCTACTTACATTATTATTAATTTATTCTTTACTATTTTTGTGTTTTCCGCATTTTTTCTTCAATAAAAATAAAATTATTGGTTTATTTATTTGTTCTGATAATAAATTTAACATAGTTACGTTTTTTTTTTTTTGTGTATTTTACTATTATCTTAAAATTAATTTCATAATAATTATATGTACAATCTAATCAATTAATAAGAATTTTTTTTTAAATCATGAGTAGCTATAATATTTATCATAAAGATCGAGGTGATTTCATTATACCACAACAACAATTCACTCATAATTTGGACAAATCAGCAAATGATGTTCAATTAAATAATCGTCAGAAATTGAAAAATAACTTTAATAAATCTAACACTATATTTGACAACAAAAACAAAAATCCTTATAAAAAAAATGTATGCCAATATTCGACCAAGAACGATTTTATAAGTAAACCTAGTTATTTGAACACAAAAAATAATTATTCATTGCACGATCCTTCAGACATAAATAATATTCGTGGATTAAGAAATCGACTGTTCACGACGTTCAATGAATTTTCAACTATAATAGAACATACTATTGCACCCCCGGTTTTAAAGAATCCCCAAAAAAAGAAAACAAATTACAATGAATATAATCAAAAGAATTTAAATTATATACAAGAAATAAATAATATAATTTCGGAAATAAAACTAGATTTTAAAAACCAAGATTTGCTTCAAAGGAAAGATAAACATAATATTAAGTTGAAACGATTGTTTCAATTAAAGTTGATTAGCTGCCACAAAATGGCAATAGAAGCTATAAAGTTTTGTTCAAAAACATTGGAAGCTGGTATTTATAATCCAATTCAAGATAAAATGAAGGATTTAATTAAAAAAACTTCTTATTTATCATTCGTTACTGGTAAATATATTTTTAGTGACTTATACAAAAAGAAAAAAAAGGAAAGTAATGACTTAGTAACTAATTGTAAAAAGTTATTAACATTACTTGAAACTAATGGATACAAAGATACAAACAACGATGATTCATATTGTACAAATAATAACAAGCTTAAGGAACTTGCTAGTAGGGCATTATCTAAACATAAAAGTCAAGTAAGTAAACGAAATAATGATAGTCTATATATGTATAAATCGACTAAAAAAAAAATAGGTTCGAGTTATGCTCAAAAATGGTCGAAAAAATCTTTGATCATAAATAATAATTCAAAAATCCCTGAATTAATGAAGTATCCTGATAGTAACAATAATTATATTGATGAAGATATACACAAAAATCATGAAGGTCTAATAATAAAAAATTATTCATTTGATAATATAAAAACTGCTGTTCAAGAATTTTATTTTGAGAAGAACATCAATAAAAATGTTGAATCTTGTATCAAAAGTGTAAAAGATAAATATTATGAAGATCAAAGTATTGTAAAGTCGAATCATAAATTAAACTCCAATCGAATATTAGATGTAAACAATAGAAAATTGACATCACTTATAAATAATCATAATAACGTTGGAACTATTTTTCTAAAAGCAAATGTCTGGATAAATTTCAAACTTCATAATAAGAAAATATCTAAAGATGGTCGACTTATACTAAATATAAGTAAAAAAGATTACATTGAAATTATAACTTATAGAAAACAACAAAAAGATGGACCAAATATTGAAAATTGTATTGAAAAAATAGACACAATAACTAGTATTATAGACATTACAATAGATAATATTATAAATACAATTATATTTAAAATGAAAATACTTTCTATAGATATAATTAATAGGCTGTTGAAGTTAGAACTATCAGAAAATGATAATATTATTTGGTAAAATATTAATGTTCTTGTATTTAATATTTGATATTTGCTGGATGTTGAACAAATTTATATTTAGTTTTTCACTTTCAATAATTTTATACGTACTTAAAAAATTATAATATCTTTTAGCTTCGATGCGAAGCTGAGAAGATATTGGTTTTACTATGATGTGTGTTTTTTTTAGCTTCGATGCGAAGCTGAGAAGGTATTAATTTTACTATGATATGTTTTTTTTTTTTTGTGACTGTATACGCTCAATCTCAGCTATCGCTGAACAGATTTTGATGAAAAATGTGTCAAAAGATCACAAATCGTATCTAGTCGAAGACATTATCCTCAAAATTTGAAAAAAATTATCTCGTTCCCCGTAAACGGGGAAAATCCCCCAAAATATTATAAATTTAAATCGCTAATTTTCGACATTTTTTCCATTTTTTTTACTTAAAATTGCCATAACTTTTTTAAAAATGACCAAATCAATATAATTTTTTTTTTAATAGATACTTTAGGTATTTACCTTTCATTTTATATATTTTTGTGAAAATTTAACACTTTACATTCCACAGGGGGAGGATTTAAAATGACAACTTTTTCACAAAAAATTAACTTTTGAAAATGTTCCGGAAAGACTGACACTTTTATATATATCTTAAATTAAAGCTTATTTAATATACTTTAATTTGAAAAAAAAAAATTTGACCTCTGGACTTGTCTTCGTGGTGAAAACGGACATCAAAGTTAAAGAAAAACGTACGATTTCCGTGAAAAAAATCTCGATTTTATATGTTATATTATTTAATTTATATTTTATATNTTACGATTTTCATGAAAAAATTCTCGATTTTATATTTTATATTATTTAATTTATATTTTATATAACTTTTGGAAAAATGTATGGATCAATATTATTATTTTTTTATAATAAATATTTATATACCCCTTTCATCTGGCACGCTTTTTTTGTAAATCGGATCATACCCCTTTAACAAGGGGGGTCAAAACTTTAAACATGCGTATTGTTACTAAGATATTTTCAATTTAATTTTTGAAAGTATTCCGGAAATACTGACACTTTTATATATATCTTAAATTAAAGCTTATGTAATATACTTTAATTTGAAAAAAAAAAATTTGACCTCTGGACTTGTCTTCATGGTGAAAATGACTACCGTATGCAAAAATATGCTATTTTTGTGAAAAAATTCTTGATATTATATTTTACATTTTTTAACATTATGTTGCTATAACTTTTTAAAAAATGCATGAATCAACTTTATTCTTTAATGATAAATACTTTATATATACTTCTTTCATTCGACATACTTTTTTTTAAAATCGGACCATTTCCCTTTATACAGGGGGGGTGCAAACCTTTTAAAATGCGTATAGAAAGTAGAACTTTTTCAACTTAACTTTTGAAAATGTTCCGGAAAGACTGACACTTTTATATATATCTTAAATTAAAGCTTATGTAATATACTTTAATTTGAAAAAAAAAAATTTGACCTCTGGACTTGTCTTCGTGGTGAAAACGGACATCAAAGTTAAAGAAAAACGTACGATTTCCGTGAAAAAAATCTCGATTTTATATGTTATATTATTTAATTTATATTTTATATAACTTTTGGAAAAATGTATGGATCAATATTATTATTTTTTTATAATACATTTTTATATACCCCTTTCATCTGACATGCTTTTTTTTGTAAATCGGATCATACCCCTTTATACAAGGGGGGCCAAAACTTAAAACGTAAGTTTTTTTGTAAATAAAAAGTATGTCGAATGAAAGAAATATATAAATATTGATTCTTATAAAAAAATTGTTTGATCCATACATTTTTCAAAAAGATATAACATTTTAAAGTTAAAATTTTTAAATATAGAATCGAGAATTTTAACACAAAAATAGCATACGATAGCTATTTTCACCGTGAAGACAAAATTAAGTCCGAAATTTTTTTTTCCATAAAGTATATTACATTAGCTTTAATTTAAGGTGTATATAAAAGTGTCAGTATTTCCGGAACACTTTCAAAAGTTAAGTTGAATAAGTTGTCATTTTGAATCCCTCCCTGTGGGCAGGTAAAGGGTCAAATTTATAAAAAAAAATTATATTGATTTGGTTATTTTTAAAAAAGTTAAAGTTTTGGTGTGTTGCTAAAAGAAATAGGTACAGTGAGATCTGGGAAAAAGTGGCAACAGACGCAAAAATTATACATCATGGTAAAATTAATACCTTCTCAGCTTCGCATCGAAGCTAAAAGTAAAGGGAAGGGGGAATAACTTACTTATTAAACAATGGTAATCTTATAATATGATACAATGGAAATTCATTAACAACCACCTGATGATAGCATAAGTAATATAATATATTACTTACGTTTTCTAATGATTTTCAAACTTCTATATTAAAAAATAAGACTGGTGAACATAGAAGAACTATTAGAACGCATGAAAACGAATTATTAAACGTATGTAAGCTTTTTCTTCAGTTATATAGCAAAATAGATTATTTTTTTATATGTATAAACATGATAATCGGTAGGAGAAAATCCCCTTAGAAAGAGTAGTTTATGGGGGTAGATGAGGATACTTGTAAGATTAACGGTAGATAGGTATTTGTTTTTTCTTGTAATAAGGAAAATTAATTATTTGAAATCATGTAAACGTGATATTGTTTAAGAGAAAAGCCTTTAGAAGGATTCGTTAATGTGAATAGAAAACTTTTCTTAGAAAATTAAAAAATTAATTATTTAACACACAATATTATATTTTGTATTCTTCATAGAATGTGTACAATAAATGTATATTCCTATTTTCTTAATAACGTAGTTATTAACTATTAACATAAAACTCACAAATTATATTCATAATGTTCAATATATATTTATAACCATGTAGTAATATATTGAGGGTTAGTGTGAATCAGGTGGATAATTTGTCGATCACGACATCCACCACCGCGCGTAAGTTTAAGCCTCGTTTGAGCTCACATATTTCGGTTAAGAAATCAACATTTAACTCTCTCCACTAGTCATTTCTGTATTTGAGCTAACCGTCAATATTACCTACTTAAGTTAATATCTTTTCTAGTTTTCTAGATATTGTTATCCATAATCACCTGACTTGAAACATTATTCTGAAATTCGTGTGAATATAAATTACTATTCGGTTTAGTGACAAACAATTTTTTTTGTACTATACATACATTTAGGGAACACGAGTTTGCACTTTTCCTATCCGATATTAAAAATTCACACGACCTTAATGACTTTATCACGTTGAAATACTATCCTCTTCATTATGTTCCCTGAATGATAATATACATTATACTTTACATAAATACATCATAAGTACAACTTATTAGTACCAGAATAGTAACGATGAATTAGTTCTCATCATCAACAATATTTTATTCAGTCATTTTAAATAAATAAATAAATCTTTTATATTTAAATATAAAATAATTTAATATAACTTCATGTAATTAATATAATATTAATTTTTACTATATACTAGTAACATAATAATTTATTTTCTAGAATCTAAATTTCTATTATATTTTTCCATACACCTCGTCAACAAACGCCATTTCTTTTTTTTTAGCAAAACATGACCACAACTTGGTGACACCGTGCATGATCCGTCCATTGGTTTTCTAAATAAATATTTGCGTTATTTGTGGGTTCACAAGCACAAACTAAAATTTTTGTTTTACCTGAATTTATACGCATTTGATACTTATTTATAATTACTTGCATTTCTGCCAGGATTCTCTGAAGGTCGTGCTCTGTTTCTGCTAATATTACGATGTCGTCTGCAAATCGGATCATTAGAATCAATATATAACCCACTTTAATTCCAATCCTAAGCCTGTTAAGTTTATATTTAACTTCGGTTATACTTTTTTCTATGTAGCAGTTGAATAATAATGGTGAAAGTGGGCACCCTTATCTTACACCTCTACGTATTTTCGCACTAGCTGACTCATTATTTATTGTAATTTCTGCACTTTGATTTTTGTAGATGTTATATATAATTCTCCTGTCTTTAAAATCTAATTTTAATTCCTTCATTATTATTATCTCTATGTAAAAAATTGCTTAATAAGTGCGGCAACGCCAGTCGAACCAGTTCTGCTCCACCTGAATTTATTCCTAAAATATCTACCATATAGTAAAGGTATCATAATCATTTTTTTTTTAAGAAACACGGCGGGTCATCCATCCAATTGTCGTTGGTTAATATCAACGAATATTAGCGTTTTAAATGTTCACCGTTCTACGCCGTGTTCCCAACAATACACAATCAATTTTTCATATAAATAACATCGGTGGGTATATTTAGCAGCAGCAAATCGTTAAATCTTAATAACTATTACTACATATACAAGTGCGTATTTATAACAAAGAGAATATATATGTTCATAGAAATTTACACTGATCGAATATTATACATTCATATCGTGGTCAAGGCCCGAATATACAATATAAGGTAACTGAGGGTGAGTAGTCAGGTTTCAATCGACATTCGGTTGATGTAGATTACATGGGGTTCGAAATATAGTTAACGAAAAAACGTTACACTCTTTAATCCAAAACATGAATTTTTTTTTAAGTAATTAAGAAGTATATTAATAAGTAATTAATCGAGAGTTTTATGTAGCGGCGGCGTCAAGAAACACATTACGTGGTCAGTCGTTTTCTAATGAGACTTGGTCGGTAGGGGAGGTAAGAAAGGAGGATTTGCGTATAGAGGTGCCCCACATCAAACTCGCGGACTCAACGCGTACAAGGATTAGCACGTACCACCTCTGGAAAATTAATTTTTTTTTTAAGTAGCATTACGCGTAATCAATTTTAGAAGGTCTCCCCAACGACTCGGGTACCTCATAGTTACGCGGGCCGCCTT